TTATTTCATCAGTAAGACCTGTGGTTAGCTGACTCATTTAAAACTTGTAATGATTTTGAATTCTTGAATGAATCGGAATCAGACATCGAACTGGAATTGAAACGAGGAATCGGAATCCTTCAAATTCAAGCGATGCCTAACCCTAGTCTGTAGTATACATAAATGTATTGTGAGTTGTTTTCTGTGAGGGGGAAAAAGGCTCTGGTGTTCCTGTTTCAGGAGGTAGAAGTTACCCAGATATTTGAACGTCTGGCCTCTGATTGGCTAACAGTAACATGACTCTCCCACTGACTCTGCAACGCTGATGTTTTATCTCCACTAATAACACACGCCTGAAGGAGTTCTGCCGTATTGAGTAGTTGCTAATGCTAACAGTTAGCCTTCACTAGCTGAGATGTTCTGTTTTCTTGATGCTATAACAAACTAATCAGTAATGCAGCGTTTATGAGCACACTGACTTCTGTTTGTTAAAACCAAAACAACTGATGACATTTTGTAGGGAGACACTTTAACCACTAGTCCTACTGAATCAGGGATGGGGCGGAGTTCCTGGTATACTTTTTCAAAGATCGTCAAGAAAAATGTATTTATGCAGACTTCAACCACCCCAGCATGTATGGATAGAGCTAAGAGGCAAATCTGGATTAAGAGAAATGTTTTATTATTAATTTTCAGATGACGTAAGCATCTGCTAAGGAAGCGTCCATCAACCCAAACCGTTATTGCTGATGGGAACATATTGTCAAATAAATTCTGTAGATCAATATTAATGAGTCAACAAATATGCCATTTCAAGCACCCACTGGTTTAAATATATAAAACGTGTCATTTCTGGTCAAATCTGACTATTGTACGTGCATGACAACAGTCCAGATGTTTATCAGCACAAAATAATTATGATTCTGTACCCGTATAAATTATGAAACACAAATTTTAGCTTTTGTTGTCACTGTTAATGTCCCAAACCTTTACAGTACACCTGCACCCTTTTGTGAGTCATTAGATAACAGAATCCAGCGTCCCCGTGCTGAGAGATCTTTATGAATCTGCTCTTCTCTCTCGTCTGATGCTGATGACTGTGCTGACGCTGAGCAGAGGGTATCTGCGGGAGGGCAAAGGTTTTCCACTGCCTTTGGTTTGGTTTGTCTGGTCTGAAGTGACACAACGGCGTTTTTATCGTCCATAACGGAGACGCGTTTGTCACCGGCACAAAGTCTGTCAGAGTCGAGGGCTGAAAGTGTCCAGAGAAAAGGCAAGCTCTGACGTTAAAACCCGATATAAACTACGAGAGTAGTAGCGCAGTGATGGAGGACAGGATGAGTGACGTCACAGTGCATGCTACAGATGAGCAGCCCTGAGTGGCTGTGGGTGGAGACCAAAACGCACACGGGCCGGGTCACCAATATCCAGGATCGGGCAACAGAGCAGGAACAATGAGCCGGGAGATCAGACGATAAAAGGAAGGAGAAAACGGGATGAGGAGGGGGTGAAATGAAAGGAAACGGGAGAGAAGAGAAGGGTGGGGAAAACAGAGAAGAGAAAAAGTGAAAATATGTCAGGTCTGAAAACCAAATGTGAAAAATCAAATTAAGGGGAACGATACAGCAGCACACTGAAGCGGAAGCAGGACAGACATGGAAAAGCACGCCATGTTGGCTAGCGGTGACTCGGTGGTGGGTGAGTGGGAAACGCTTTAGTTTGGAAAATCAGATGAACACGAACAGGAAGTGAGAGGGAGACATCATGGCCTGCTGCGCTCGACAGGGTCTAGCACCTACGGGGATTCCTACGGTTAGCGAGAAGCGGCGTCAGACCTCAGTGACACATTAATTAAGAGTTATTTTAAAGGCTCCTTCAGAAAGAGACACACTGCTTTAGCTGCTGCGTTAAAATTAAACAAAGGGTAGGAAGAAGCACAGTCATCCAGAGGAAAGTGGCTGTCCCAGTTCTGCGAGCACAAACTCAAGCTCATTCAGCAAAGGCTGTCAAAACTTTAAAGACTGAAAATTCAACCGGAAAATCAGTTTTGTTCCCGCCACCGTCCAGGAAATCTGTTTTTATCCTTTGGATTTACTGAGTTGTCATTCAGCCCTCAGAGGGACAGATAAAAATAGACGGCTACGCTCGGGGCTGCAGCTTTGAGTTTGGCTCCTTGGTGTTCTGGATGCTATGGTTGGTTTACTACTAGAGAGGAGCGTACCTGGGATGGCTTCTGGCTTTGAGGACGTCCTGAAGGACATGGTGGCAGGCTGGGACTTCCCCTTCTGGTTCTCTGCCACCACATACACACTGTACTCAGTGTCCCACTCCAAACCCTGCAGAACCACATGCTCGCTGCCACTGGGCATCCGGATCTCTGGTTTCCACCCTGAGCCCTGGATCTAAGGACGGAGATGGATATAAATGACCTAGAGTCAACGCTGCACACATCAGTCATGTTGCACTTGTCACAAAATGGCAAATTTAAGATCTAAAATGAGGTCAGTCCTCTAGAACCAATCTACCCACAACAAGTAGATGTTTCACATAGACGCGTGGTAAACGTGTGGTCTGTAGAGGATTATGTGACATCAGAGCGTGTAGGGTGATGAGGTTAGAGGCCGTACTCACTGGTTTATAGCGAACCAGGTAGTGGAGGATGGGAGAGCCGCCGTCATCCTGCGCAATCCAGCTGACTTTGAGGGAGTTTCCCGTTGCCTGAAGGGACCCTTCCAGTTTAGGAGGGTTGGGATTCCCTAAGGGAGGGACAAAAGGTCATTTAGGGGGCCTTTAGGCTGCTTTACAAGAACATTAGAACCAGATCTGTCAAACATTTTCGAGTGACTGGTTTCATTTCCTCGTCGTCCGCTGAGGTGGCTTGACCTTTAATCATTTTTCTTGAGTTGAATGTTTGTTTACTTATGCTAATTAATGAATGACACACACCACCACATGCTTGGATTCATCAGAGCGGTGCTGCTGTCACTGATGACATAAAAGTGCACTCAGACGAGAGTCGTCTGTCAGTAATGGGAAAGTTTCTGTTATTCATAACAAACGGAGCAGCAGGTCTGCCTGGAAGTGTGTGTGTGTGTGTGTGTGTGTGCACTTGGGAGAGAGTGAGTGAGTGAGCAAGGTTATCCTGGAACAAATCTGATCTCTCAGCAGGTTTAGCTAATTCTTCTTCTTTTTCATCATCATAATACATTTTGCTATTGAGTAGCTGAGGATTGTCACGCAAATAAATTCCCTCAAATGAAAACACCTTTTTAAAAAAATTACGTTTGATTTCTTGATATTTTTTAAATGCTAAAAAGGGAAGCAGAAACATTTATCGCAGCTGTTGCAGAAACGAGTTGAATTGTTTCTGATGAAGACGACTTTAGAAACATCTGGTTTTGGTCACTTTGCTTTATTGTGTTAAAAATGTTGACTTAATGTTGGAAAACTGAAATAAGCTTTCAGAGTAGACAGGAAAAATAGCTTTTATGATGTGCTGTGAAACACTTTAGCATTTTATTAGCATTAAGAATGTGTGAGCTTCAGATTTCCAACATCTATGTAATAATTAATAACTGTAGCCTGTGATTCAGCATATAAGTTGTTGTCAGAAATGCCATTTAATTACCTTCACATGTGTTAAAACATCAGTTTATTTGATGAAGCAGCTGAAAAAGCATTGAGCGTGTAAATAATGAAAAACTTCATGGAAAACCAGGAAGAAGCAGGTAGAAAAGTAGGAAGATGATCCGGTTATTAAAGAAATCGAGTACTTATGAAGATTCTGCCGAGCTAAATGACTGATTAATGTGTTACATGTAGACATAAAAGCACAACTGTCATGTTTTAATTGTCTAGTTTTTCCATTAAACGAAAGAATGAAGGCTTTGCGACAGTTACCTTCTGAGGAGTTGAGGCAGCCATCAGCACCAAATAACAGTCACACAGAGATGAAATGACACATGTGAGCGGCGGAAAAACAACAAGACATAAAAGACGAGAGAAAACAGAACAAATGAAGCCAACGTGCATTTTCTGCCTCAGTTTGGATTTTGAATGTCAAAAGTGCAGCAGACATCAAACAGCTTATAATCTTCCTGATTTAGGCAAATTAATCATCTGGAAGGCGACTGATTAATCAACGCTGATGGGCCTAAACCAAGTGCAAATGTTCCCCAACCCATTTCAAAAGTAAATAAAACCGGAGGGGAAACGCTGAGATTTGCTGTTAATTCACCACGCTGTCGTTAAGCCAACACGTCTAAAAGCTGTTACTCAGATTTGGGTGAAAAAACAAAAACCTGACACACAAAGTCACAGCTAACTCTGGCGCTTTATTACAGATGTGGCTAATCGGGTAAGGTGGCAGCTATCCTGGAGGGACTGAAACGGCTACGGCGCTAACCGCTAATCGTCTATTATCCTCTACAGAACAAACCTGAGCCTTCAGCGGGAAAATGAAAAATGTCATCTGGAGGCGTGAGACAGGGAAAGCAATCAGGAGCAGTTCTCTGAACAAATAACCACACAATTCCCTATACGAACACTCAGATACGAAATACAGCAAGTCTCTGGAGAACCATTAGGTTCGTGTGTGTGTGTGTTAGAAGTAATCATGTGATACATAATGAACAGACATTTGTTCATTACAACATCTTCGATTGTCTATTATGGTAAAACTCAAACATGCATTGGTTTTCTTTGTCATCTGTGTATCCATTTCTGCATTAATGACAAACGTTGGAAAGCAAAATCACCCTAAAAATGCCAAATATATATATATATATATATATATATATATATATATATATATATATATATAACCTAAAATAACACTCCTAAAATGGTAAAAACCTAGATTTAAACAGACATGAGTCACTTACTTTTGTAAGTGGGGCCTGATGGATAGGACACAGAGAAATGAACAAAACAAGAATGGACGATTAAAATTATACCATGAAGATGAAATGAAGATATGAGAGGATCAGAATGCAGATGAAAAACTAGAATATGGTGTAAAGTTAATTTATGTCAGTAAGTCAACTTAAACGGTGAAACTAAAACAAGAGGTAGACTCGTTACACGCAAAGCCAGACGTTTAGGCCTTTGTGTTATTTATAATTGTGATGATTACAGTTTACAGCTGAGGAAAACCCCACATTCAAAATCTAGGAATATAGTGGAAAAAAAAAATATTCTAAACTCTAAATGTATAAGCAATCCAGAACACCTGCAAAGGGTTCCTGAGGCTTTAGATGGTCTCTCAGTCTAAGATGGATTAGTGACATAAATGGATTTCGTTTCCAGTTTCAGCTGCATAAATGATACCTAACAGTAAACATCCCCAGCCAGCAGAGGGCGCTAAACACCACCTGATGAGCTCTAGGTCTGAAGAATGCCAATTAGCCATGACATTATAATGACTGACAGGTAACGTAGCACAGCTCCTCTCCTTCTGACCGTGTTGGGTTCGGGTGACCCAAGCAGCTGCTGCTGTTCTTGATGATCCTGGACGGTTCGGGCCTTTTTGGTGCCCAAATATCTCACAAGTGATGACTTGTTTACAGACACAAAGGTAGACAAAAGCCTGGGTGGCAAACTGCACTTACGCACGGGCGCCGTCTTGAAGAGTTCTGCGGAGCTGCTTTCTCCTTCACCTTTACCGTTAGCGGCTGACAACTTCACCTCGTAGCTGGTGTCGGGCTTCAGGCCCGTGATCGTCAGCTCGTTGCCGAAGCCTGTCACAACATCAGACGAGAGCAGTTTCTGCTGAAACACCTTGGTGATTGTGATGAGCACATCCCTTGTTCCAACGATTCATGCATGATTCATTTCCTAACAAGCAAAGGCTGATTAGCTCAATTCTCATTTCAGTCCAACAATGTTTAAAGACTTGATTAAACTATTAAACGGGGATCCAAAATGAGACGTGCAAAAATAAAATAAAAAGCTGTGAAATTATTTTGATAAGTTGAACGTGTCGAAGGATGAAACTCACTTTTCAGAGGCTCCTCCATAGATGACCTGGAGCTCTGTAATCATTACTGTGGTTTCTTAGCTACGTGTTTATTTACACGCCTCATGAGTTTTCATCACGTTTTATGGTTTTACTCTAAATATGAGGTTTTTTTACCATCTTGGACCTCGTGGATTCTGGTCACCCAGCTCCCTCTGCCCTCAACCCTCCACTGGGTTCTGTACTTCAGGACCGGAACACCTCCGGTGGATTCAGGCTCTTCAAACTGGATCAGTGCAGTGGTGGAGAAGGGCCTCACTTCATCGATGAATGGAGCTGATGGAACCTCTAAAAATAAAAACACTGGATTTACTAAAAAAAAAAAAAAAAAAAAAAATGAATACAAATCTGCAGCACAAAAGGGCAGTCAGACCCTACGTCTTGGTTAAAGTGATGAACTGAACTCTAACAAGTCTAAAGATGATTTAAAACAGCTTCATCTCAGCAGAAATCCAAGAAATAAAACATGGAAAGGCTGTGAAAACAATTTATTGCTCCTGATTCCGGTAGAAGTTGTTTCCAAAGCCGGCGTTTTTGATAACTCCACAGATAAAAGTCAGACGCTTCATGAATATTTGAAAACCGTTGAAGGTCTTGTGAGGAATGTTTGAAGAGCAGAAACAATAAAACCTTGCAGTCTGTCACAATTTAATGATTCAATAAAGTCTGAAGTGTTGAAACTGTTAAATAATTTGTCGAAATAAAGATTTATGAAACATTTTACAATCTAACAAATACATTATTTGATCTTTTTGTAGATTTAACAGGAAAAGAGTCACTGTTGACGAGCTACAGTAGCATTTCCCCGGGTTTCCACAGGAGCCGTCAGCAGCACGTTACTGCAGCAGCACGTCTTGCTCGCGTAAGCTGCTGCTTGGCCCTTCCCACGAGACGCGAAGCAGCAGGGGAGCAGCTGTCACCGACCGAGCACGAAGTCACACGAGTGACTTCGTCAGTAAACACAACAACAAGCAGGAGAAAACTACAACATGGCTCCAAAAGGTTTGTGTTTTATGTTCTGTCCATTTTATAATCGCCAATACGGACCTGAAAAACAAAGGAGACCGCTAGCTAGGTGATGACTTCTCACGGGGCCGCAGTTAGTAACTTCTTTCAAAAGTAAAGCAACCGGAAGGCAGTACGTTTCTTTATTCTGAAAATCTAAGGGAGCTTCTCTCCATTTCCGCGTCTGATTTCCTGTCTTTCCTTCCCCAAAAATGTCGAACTTGACCCGTTTCAGAGGCGTCGCGCGTAGAAAATAAAACCGGCGCGTAAAGGCCGCGACATGCTGCTCCTGAGACGCGGCCGACTCGCACTGCTGACGGCTCCGGTGGAAAAGGTTCTGTTGACCACAGCGGTTCCTATCAGCAGCTATGACGTGCTGCTGCAGTAACGTGCTGCTGACGGCTCCTGTGGAAAGCCGGGGTTTGACTCATCCCCTGAGGGAGCGGTGAGCTGCAGACACGGCTGTGCTCGGGAACTATTTGGATGTTTAAACCCCGATCCAATCTCTTAAAGCCGAGTGTCAAGTGGCCAGGCATTGGGTCCCATCTTTGGTATGACCCAACCACGGATTTGAACCCACAATCTCCCAGTCTCCGGGCAGACACTCACTCCACTTTGCCACGGAGCCATGAACCAAATGAGCCTCAAAAACAGATGCAGCAGGACTTCAGGCTTTCTTCATAAACTCTGGGTCGCCTGCAACCACCTATTTCGTATTTTGCGGGGGAATTCCAGGAAAACCTTTTATAAAGCTCCCAACGGGCCGTACCATCGACCACAGAGCAAGAGTGAACCATCTATTTCGCTAAATCCTCCTCCAAACGTGCAAAGCAATCGATTCATCTGCAAAATACGCGGTTCCTTTCAGCCCGATCCCGTGATGTGAGAAAAACCAACACGGACATAAGAAAAGATCTTTCTGTGTTATCCTCTAGAGCAGGGTTTCTCAACCTTTTTCAGCTAAACGCCCCCCCCCCCCCCCCCCCCCCCAGTCATGCTGAAACCCCTTACTGCCCACCAATGTCCCATGCAGAGAAACGGAAAGTTTTTTTTATACAAAAATCATTAAAAAAAAAACTATTCGGCCTTGAGTTTGAAACATTTTCATACAAATATGTCATAAAAAAGTATCATATTAAAGTGTTTTTAGCTATTAGCAACAAGATATTGTAGTAAGCAGGGGCGTAGAACCAAATTCTGGGCCCTAGGTACAAGTCTTCCAGGTGGGCCCCCATGCTCAATTACTCAATATCTCTCTTACACATTTTTTGTCATGCTATAAGACAAGATAATAAATATGATCCTAGTTTAACCTCTATATTGAGCAAATACAAATGCCAAAATAATAAAAGTGAAATGCCCAGACTTCACATATAATTATTTTTATTTGCCAACAATGTGTTCAAACAAAAATCCTGGAATTTATTTTCCAGTAAATGCCCACTGACGGGTCTTCATGTTAGCAAAATCACTTATGAGATCTTTAAAGTCCAATCCTTTGGCTAATTGGCTTTCAATAGAAAGAAGAGCTAGGCTGTTCAGTCTATCCTGGGACATTGTTGATCTCAAATAATTTGTCACCATTTTCAGTTTGCTAAAAGCCCGTTCACCCCCAGCAACAGTCACAGGTAGTGTGCAAAATATCCTCAGTCCAATACAAACTTCTCCAAAAATGCTCTGTAATTGCATCCTGTATGGCATTAAGCAGCTCAAGAGGAGACCGAATGTGTGGGAATGTGGCACCATATATTGTTCTCAGGTGTAGCATCTCATTCCCAAATTCAGCTGTGAGATCCTTGTAAAATTTTCTCATCAGTGCCTGGCACGATATCTTCATCTGCTCTTCAGTCATGTCTGTCATGGTTCATGATGTTAAGCTTTGCTAATACTGATATATATTGATATATTAAATACACATGACATGAAATAAACCAGGTTCTCTCTGTGAATGTAATGTACTCTAAATTTTATAATCCCTGCATTATCAGCCAAATTATAAGATTGTCCGTTTTCAAGATCAAATATAAAGAAATTTAAAATAGGCTTAAAATATCTAACCAAGTCAATAACAATCCTCCAACACCAGTGTCATCATGCTATACAAAAAACAGTGGCAGCTTCACGTTCCTGAGATTACCACCAATCCATCAATACCAAGTTTGTCCTGCTCCATGACTGGGAAGGAGCTGAAATGTCCACACAGAGTGAACCTGTTTTTACTGCGAGGTCCGCCAATTAATTGGCGGCGGCCGCCCGCGATAATAATTCTGGTTAATATATATATTTATATTAATTAGTGTTTTCACTGACAACACTAATTAATTTATATTTGATCTTGATGGTGAAACTAAAGGCGTTTAACACTGAACACCTAACATGAATGCAGCTTCTGAGAGCTAGCTAATATCAGCTAAAACTGTGTTCTGCTGCTGCTGCTCACCATCCTTCTACTTGCTTCTGTTCAATTAACTTTTCCTCCTTCTCCTTCTTTTCTTTTCTTTTCTGGAAGCCAGATTTCCCTTTCTTGGGAAAAGACATGACTGACTCCTGCCTCCAGCTCTGGCTGTCGGCATCTGCGATGTCTCATTAGCACATGCAGCCGTGCAGCCCCTGGCTGCGGGTGTGGACTAAACCACTTTGCACATTTTTAAGGGGTGATAGATGCCTCAGAGATTATTCAGTTATTATTTTTAAGGCGAAATTCTGTTTCTTTACCTCTTTATCCAGGTAAAGGGAAGTTTATTAAGACATTAAGTAAGTTGGGGGGAAAAAACAACAACAATAAAACATTTTTATTCAAAGCTGTCTCAGGGCCCCTCCCTGCAGTGGGCCCTGGGTAAACGGTACCCTTTCCCCCCCCAGTCCGACGCCCCTGGTAGTAAGCTAATCATCGGTCCAGTAAAATTCGAGCTTCGAGCAAACATACTGCTAACGCTACCTCTCTTAGTGTCTCTCTTTATTTACCTGAAAATAGTTCAGTTCATTTGAACCTTTGTCTGGATGCATTTTGGACAAGTGCTCCTTAAGCCAGGAGGGTTTCATTGCTTCATTTAAAAAAACGTGTTCACAAAGCACGCACATGGGGAGTTGTGGATTCGTCGGTGAAGGAATAAAGCCATACCGAAGGTAGTCCACATTGTACTGTCAACACTTCTTTTTATTCTGAGCCATTGTCTGTTATGAATGTCCTTTATCGCTAGCGCCCACCATTAGCATCTCAGCTCTCTCTTCAGTGGCAAAAAACTTTCACCGCCCCTTATATAGTCTGAACGCCCACTGGGGGGTGCTACAGCCCCCGTTGAGAAACCCTGCTCTGGAGGATCATTCCAGGGCAAAGAGGCAGATGCTAACGTTAAAGCTGGCCTTTTATCTCCGCCCTGTTTGCCTCATGGGCAAATATAACCAGCGGTGGCATTAAAATGCTGCAACATTTTGTTCTTGATGCCTTCAGTAAGATGATGGAGGAGCACGATATCCCGTAACTTTGTCTTTTCACACTGCAGCAAAAGTTTTGTCTAAACAACAATGAGATCAGGGCTGCTGATAAGGAATCTGTTATCTAAACAAACTCACGGTAAATGTTCTGGACAAATGTGTTTTCAATAAGAGTGAAGTTCCCGCCTGCGGCTCAGAGCCAGATCACGCCTGATGGAGTCAGCAGCAACGGCGTCTCCCTGACACCTGCACTCACCTGTTACATTAATGACTACAGACGAAGAATGGGACATGAAGGAGAATACGGAATCACAGCATCGTGACTGACCGGCCTGGATGAGCAGGAACTCTTTGGACTCTGTTCCCATCTCGTTGGAGGCGGTGCAGTTGTAGCTCCCAAAGTCGTTCTCAGACTCGGGGGTGACCTGGGGGGGGGGGGGGGGGGGAGTACAGTGGAGGTGACCTTCTGTTGTTTGTCCATTACAGTAGCCTACTTTTATTTGTTTCTATGAGCCGTCAAGCTGCTGAATTATTCATGCATTTATTTCCACAATGGAGTTGAAAGAACACCCTCTCCACCTCAAGTCTATGCTCATGAAATCTTGATGACGGGGGGAGGCGGTGGGGTGTGTGGGGGTGTCTGTGCACAAGGAACTACTGTGTGTATACAGAATAAACATTTAATTAGCAGCTTTTTACAGCACGAGTACCTGCAGGTAGCTGGAGGTGGGACTTCTGAAGATCTTGACGTTGGTGCTGTTTGAGTTGGGAAGCTGCAGTCCGTCTCTCAGCCACACAATGGAAACATCGCTGGGATACGCTCTCACCTCACAGCTGATATTGACGGGATTTCCCTCCCAGGTGTACACTGCTACTGTTCCATGGATCTTAGGAGCATCTGGGGGATAGATGTGTGTTTCACAAACCATTTCAAATCCCCACCACGCCTGTGAAGGCCTAAAAATGAGGAAATACTCACAGCGAACCTCCAGATAAACGGCTTGTTTATCTTCTCCGATGGTACTGCGAGCTGTGCAGAGGTACTGACCAGCGTCTGTGTACTTGACGTACTTGAGGGTGAGGGAGGACACGCGAGCGTCACTCCTGACCACTACGTTTCCATCCAGGCTCTAAATCATGACAAAGATGGCCGTTTAAAGAAACGGAAACACAATTAGATTGTGGTTTTGAGGCTGTTTTTGCGACACGTTCACTGAGAAAACACAAGCCAGCCTTTAAGACACAGAGTGGACATTACAGTAATGAAAGAGGTGGAGAATTTTCTATAAAGATGTGGAAACATTAGGAGACAGATGACAAGGCAAGGGATCTTCTAAATAATTGATGTCCAGCAGCATTAGAAACCATCTAGAGCTCTTCACACGGCAGCTGTACTAACTTGTGATGAATCGTGCTGATGCAGGTCCATGAGCAGCAGAATGTCACAGCATGCTGCACTTTTTCATTTCAGGGTCACATCATCATGTTTTAGGGAGATAACATTTATCTTTTTTCCTTTTCCTTTGTGGTGTTTTGCGGAGAAGAAGAGACCAAGGTGCATGAAACCTTTACAACACTCTGATATGTGTAAATAAGAAATCTAGTCTAGTTGTATCTGGTTTCAGGAACTTGATCTGTGCAGATTCGTTAGAGGCAGCTTCCTGACCAGCTTCCACTAAAATGCTTTTGAGGTTAAACATAATTGTACGATTGGATCTGAACTCAGAACTTCAAATTTAAACTACAGACTCAGGAAAACTAATGATTTTTTAATATATATTTGTGTTTTTGCCTGAAAGCCAAATATATAAACTTAACCCTTTGATGCATAATGGTCACTACAGTAGACAGGTACTCAAAATTGTTATTTCTTTATTTTTGCTATTAAGCACAGCTGTTGAAGACTTTATTGCATGTGAGCCCCTCCATTTGGACTTCAGTAAGTCAAGCCAACACATTTCATGTTCAGAATGCACGCTGTCCACTGAGGTGGACATGTAATAAATTATTTGTAAATTAACAAAATATTACAAAAATATTTGTGGCAATTTGTTTCATTCACACCTAAAGATGAATGAAAAAAATTGTTTAAAAAATCATGGTTGAAGATCTCATAATTCATGCATCAGAGGGTTAAATAAGGCCACGTACGCACGTAGCCGGGTTTTTGTGAACCAGAATATCGTTCCTGCTCATCTAGGGAAATATCTTGTGTCCACACAATCTGGTTTTCAGCAAAATAATCTGAGTTATTGTGAAGAACATTCATAGATATGCCAACCCTGTAGGTGGCAGTAGTTCCCCAAAGTGTTTGCATCTTTTCTGAAAAACATTCCTTAGATGTGGATTAACGGGGATGGGCATACATTCATAAAGTTTCAGACTTTTTCCATGATGCATTATCCAGTCTGTTCCGTGTCTGCTGCTAAATATTTTTGTACTAGTGAAGAATTTACAGGAAGCGGCGTCCTGACCAATCACAAACTTGCGTTCTGTCTTTTTCTACGAACAGTTAAAAACTGAGGCATGTCTACGTCTTCCTCTGCGAGCCTGTCGGAGGGCTCTTGCATCGACGCATGATGGCGGTGTGTGTCTCCGTCCTGACGCAGACGGAGAAGTGTAACTTAGGCATAAGCTGGACGGCCACAGACTTGCAAATCACCCTCACGCTCAGTTTTTTGGCCACGATTCTGTTGACAAGAGATTAGCGTAGAACGGCTGAAAAACACATCGTGTGATCTGGGCTTGCAACCTGATTTACGTCCACAAGCAAATGCTGACAATGGAGAATCCTCCAATTCCACTTTGGCTTGAGTTTTTGAAAGAGCTGTTTTTGATGCGGTTTATCTGTACTTTTGTGTGGATGACAGACAAAACCGTAGGAAAATACCTTGTTTTGTGGGATCCTGGCTAGGCGAGTAACGTGTGTTAAAGTGAAACGAGAGCAGAATGCTTTTAAACTCGACAGACTCAGGCCCACCCTGGACAGACGTTCAAGAAAAACCTACATTAGTTAGTATTCAAGCTCAATAGACAAAGCACGTCTGGGGGCACTCATTATGCACGACCAGGGCGACTCTTACATAACACACGCCACCCTTTTATTGTGACCTCTGTGCAGATTGCTATCTCAGTCGACCCTTGTGGTTCTGTTTCTGACTGCTGCATCTTTTTAACACGCTGGTTTCTCAACGAGTTTGTTTCAGTGGAGAGTACGTCATAGTTCAGCAGCTGCACACTGATTGTTCCGTCAAAACTAAAACCTGTTAAGTTCCACACAGCTTTGTTTTTTTTTAATCTTCACTGTAAACCAGGAAGGTCATTAAATGTAAAATTTTCTGCCTCTTGCAAATGTAAAAACGTGCTATAAAACAAATGAAGTTGAAAGAAAACAGCAAAGACAATTAGATTCAAGCCACAAAGATAAAGCCAAACCAACAACAGAGCTTGCCGACAGAAGTGAGACGCAGAGGGAACCTCGGAGCATAAAACTGACGCTACATCGAGGACACGTTAAACTCGTGTCTCATCAAATATTAAGTGGCCTGGCATACCAATGCACCTTCCCTTGTCTAACTGATTAAATGAACTCACTCTGCATTCCCATAGAGCTCCATGCACCCCCCATCCTCACTGTGATTTGTAATTGGAGGTCTTGCAGAGACGCACTGATCGTCTGAGTGCAGGTAAACTTAAAAACCACGTCGTTTGTGTCAGAAAATAAAAATAACTTTTGTGTCATTTATTTATGAAAAACCAGAAATGCAGGGAAACCTTTTACCAGATTACCAGTTGCCTAACTATGAACTACTATATCAGATTTTTCAAGTACTGAGAGTAATTATTCAACAAAACGGTAAAAATATTTTTTTTTCTGCAAACTGGACCATAACTCTGATTTTAACAGTTAAAGACCCATTGGACAGAAACACCAGAGGAAGCCTGCGAGTCCCAGTTTATCAACAACTTCATAATGACTGTCAGCATGTGTGTGATTGAAGAGGCTTTCCCCTCCCTCTAGCAGAGGAGCGAGTAATAAGCCCTTTTACTGTAAATGTTATGCAGGTGTACACATCAGCTGGAATAAAAAGTGAATAAATAAAACAATAAATGAAATGATCTCCTGGTGCGACATGCTCCCTGATCTTCTAAAATAGCCAATCTATTTGAAGAAACAAATGGTCTAAAAATACACAAACAATGGTCAAATGCAGCAAAAGTATAAATAACCATGGTGATCTAAAATTAGATATCTGGTTTAAAACGGAGATGGGCTGATGATCAATGATGTGATTTGTAAGAGCACATTTGTGTGCTAAAGCGTGAGTCGGTTCCGTCTTCAGGCTTTTTGGATGTCTCGCTCAGCGCGGCTGTTTGAAATAACAACCATTTTCTCACCAATTTTCTCACATATGTAGAACACATATTTGATAGTGAAGCCATTTGCAGAAGAGCTTTAGGGGGCAGCCCTTTTTCAGGCAATTTTCACGTTCTTTCAGGAGAGCTTGTTCTCAGGCTCGATTGCTTCACAGACGTTTCATCATCTTCACACCAAGAACTAAGAAACTACACATAACGTAAGTAATACACCTGGAAATGATGGTACAATTGTACAAGAGACACTAAAATCTTAAGACATGAGCAGAAACTTTTTTTTTTCTTCTTCTGGCTCTTGGAGGGTGCAGATGCTTTTTTCCTCCTCTCCTCCATATCTTATCCTCAAGGCCTTTGTCTGTCTGTGTGTGCTGGGTGCACGACTGCTTCTGCATTTTTTCTGGAAACTGAAATCACTTAAATGGATCTCGTCAGCTGGTCTCTCAACGCGATTGATAAAATTTTTTCAATGATGAGAACGGGAGAAGGGGCTCCCGGATGTCCCGCCGGGACAGACCCAGTTGGACACATCATGCCTGGAAACAGTGGAACTTGATCTGTTTATCTCAGCTGTCTGTAGAGGATTCTGAAGACGTGTGGATATTCGTGGCGTTGGTGTCAGGTTTCCTGCTCATTGGCCTTGGAGGCTACCTGGCTTACCGGAAAATTAACGAGCTGTCGAGGAATATTGGCCTGATCCCGGAGCTCAGAGATGGTTTGCACCGCACTGTGAATTCACAGACTCAAATATTTGTCGAGATGAATCGTAAGCTTGGGACTTTGGTGGAGATTCATTCTTTGGCACAAAAGATGGATGCCATCAAGGAGAGAGTGGACGAATCAGCACGGATTGGGATAGATTAATGATCATTATTGGGATCTTAAGAGGTTGAGGACCAACAAACTGTAAGACAGAGGAAATTATCTCTGTCTGGCCCCAAAACAATTTCTAATCAGAATCTGGCGTCCTTGAGCCTGCATGTCTCCAACAAGAATTCTCCCCTCAGAAGATGTGTGGAATGTGCCGTCTCTGTGGCAACTCAACTCTGTCTCCTTTCCCAGCCTGGGCGGGACTGCGGGAAGGCCGCTGAAGCGTCCAGGAGTCACTGCAACCCTCCAACCCTCAATGCCCCCCCCCACCCCCCCCCACCCCCATCCACACTGAGGTGACATGCGCTGCTTCATCGTGGCTGCTGGAACTGAAGTGGGGATAGTGCCAACCCACCACCCCACCTAGTGGACATTTATGTTGTGTTGTCTGAAGTCTGTTGCATATCTGTCTGAGGTGTTTTTTTGCAGAGCAAAGCTGCCCTCCCAGTGGAGGGCAACTCTGAAGTGCCTTTTTTCCCTCCACCTGAACCAATCCTCATGTAACCCTCTGTTCTCTATTAAGGTAGCGCAACTCAGGGTTGCGAATGACCACAGTCACCAATTCTTGTCATGTGTCTTGCTCATGTATGTCTGATCTCTGAATTGTGTGTACTGAAACTCTAATTTCCCTCTGGGATTAATGAAGTATCTTTGATTTGATTGATTGATTGATTGATTGATGAACTCCTTAAAATATGATTCAGGTTTAACATTCATATTTACTCAAGCAGGTCATGTGAGGACTCAACGCTGTGAAGCATTTACACCCTTAAAGATTTCTTTTGATTGACTTTTTGCCACTTAAATGTGGAAGATCACCCAAAGAATGTCAATACTGGGCAAAGATTAACTGAGTAAATACAAACTGCAGTTTTCAAATGATCAGATATTCTGAGAAAAAGCTACACATAGCAACCCTGGCCTTCAGAGAAAAACGTATTCCTCACTAAACCTAAAACAGAAATCAAGTGTTTGATAACTATGGAGGAATTTTTACCACTCTTCTCTATAGAGTTGTTTGGATTTAGCCATATTTGAAGGTTTTCCAGCATATACGGACCAGGGACGGAGCTATGGGTGGGCACAGGCCCACCCAGTTTGACAGGGTGCCCACCCACCAGGGGCAGGACCAGGCAGTAGCTTGGTGTTGCTATACCAACACCAAGATGTGGCCAAGCAAGCAACTGCTTAGTAACCCCGGTTATGTAGTAACAACAGTTACAATATGAAATTATTACTTTAATGAATGTGCACTTGTTTCACTGTGTAATAAAAATACTTTAACTTTTATATTTTGTACTAATTTTAATCGTATTATGAATGTTTTCTAGTTAGCTTGTTGGAGTTGTAATTTGGTCTTTTATATATATAAAAAAGTGAATTGGCACCTGCTTACTGACACTAAGCAACCATTAACCTACTGCAGAGAAAAGATTCTGATACCATCCCTGCCACCCAGTGAGGTTCATGATTATTTTTCTCAGAAGCATCCTCCTGCCCTGGACTTCTCACAGCTGAACCGGGCATCTCCCGGAGTCCGCGGATGACATCATTGATATTGTCAGCAGTGTAAACTGAGAAAGGACTGGGTGTGAGGGGGAGACAGACGCGCAGCACGCAGTGGACACGCAAGGACCTTTTATCTGATGCTTTTCCTCGCACTTACGTTAATCCGGTAAAGGAAACGAATCGTTTTATCTGGGTATCTCGTTGGGTCTGCTTTAGTCCTCTAAGGCCATTTTATTTGGTTCTGTTCATTTTATTGTTGTTGTCTGGGCCGGGGGTTCAGGTGGAAGATCCCGGAGGTGACGAGTCGTCCTGAACCGCGTCGGCGTGTCGCTGTCCGTGGTCCTGAATGAGACAGAGCTTGAGAGCCCGTGAGGAGAAGGGGTGTGGTCAGAGGTATATGCTGCTTAGTCGAGGTGTGTGTGTGCGCCAAGCCCCCACAATGCGGCTCAAAAATTGAGGCCAACCCAGAAGTACCAAAAATTGTAGTTCCACCCTCACCCGCTGGGGGCTGGTACCAGAAGCGAGCAAATCCTCATTGACTCCCATGTTAAAAATACCAATTTCACAGCAGAAATAAACATGTTTACAGCCTGGTACCAAAATATGTTTTTGGTTTAAATTATCTAGTTTATACTCATGACAACTCTGAGGGGGGTGAATTTTTTTCTCACTTTTCTGTTTAAGTGTATTAAAAGCCTAAAATTCTCTATAATTAATGAGCCTCAGACCCACGTGACCACAGAGCTAGCTCCGTGGAAAGGCTTCAGTAGAGCCTCGGTCTGGCTTGGAAACTTCTGGGATTTTGAGTCTCTGTGTTTGTGTATTCTTTTTTGGATATTTTTTGTGCAATTGTTGGACAAAATGACTTGCTGTGGCATTAATTGCACTAATAGAACGTCCAAGGAGTCTCCACTTCATTGTTTTCGGTAAGTAAAATTATATTTATGTATTTCAGGTCACTGCGGAGCTGAGCTTAGATTTTAACATGTACTGTTTAACCATGAAATTTAAATGTAATAGGGTAAAACCCAGTGCATTTAACATAATGCTGCACTTTAGAAAATGGGTTGAAATATAACATGTTGGTGGAGCTGGGTTCCCACTATCGGCTTGTGGAGCTCTCGGGAGACCGATGTTTTCCACCCGTTTCTCCCCTCCCCGCAGCTCGGCGCATCTCTGTCTGATCGCGGCTTCTGTTTGATGCGCGGCCTGCCGCCTTTCAGCAGCTTTCGGAGACCTCGGTGTTCCACCCGGTTTTACCCAGCGGTCAGCCCGGCACATCTCTGACTCAGAAGCTCTGGTGTTTGCACAGTTAACTCCGGTTGTAGCTAGGTTGCTACCTCTGTTAGCTTAGCTCCCACCTCTGCGTTAACTTTGGGTTTGCTTGTATCTAGTTCAACCGGTTGTTGTCAGTTGATCCCAGCCTTACAGCCCCACCCTCAGCTCCACCTCTCTTCCCTTTTGTGGAATTGTCTGGGCTTGACGGAACCTGTGACACGGTCAAAATGGCGGTGGTGGCCACCTCCCAGCCTCAAAAACGTGTTATTGGAGCCTATGGAAACCCATTGTCCAATATTTATATGTCGATGGTGTGCGTGCGCGCACGCCTGGCTGAGATTAGAACCTGTCCAAGGTCCTGAAAGTTCACACGAGAGAGTGTGCAGGTCTTGGCCCAGAGCGGGAGTCCAGCATCAGTAACAGTCCTTAAAATAAAAATTTAACAGAGATCCGTGGAATAAGTATCTAATATATAATCTTCTATCATAGGATTATTTGTGGTTTGAGAGATTTTATTATAACATGTAATTTTGATGTGCACGCACGTGGCGCACATCTCATATCTGCTTTGAAATTAATTATACCCATCCAGATTTTTCTAGGCCCACCCATTTGCTACATTCTGGCTCTGCCACTGATACAGACTGGAAGTTCTCCAGGTCGTTAAGCGGAAAAGCAGCCCCAGACCATCACACTACCACCACCAGACGTGAACTGGCAATCTGAGTTCTAGAGAATCCCAGAACTGCTGGTGTGCTCTAGGGTTGCTGGGTGTTCTCCAGGCCACTGCTGGCGCTCCCCCTCTGCCCGGACATGTCCACAGAGGGTCGAGCTGGCTGCGGTGACGATCCGCCTCCTACTCGCTCGTAGACATTAATACAGAGGATCCAACAGCTGCTCCATAGACTCTCATTTATTATTTTTGACCAATGGTCCAGAAGTAGATAGGTGGGACTTAGGCTCCCTGTTGGAAGTGATTTATTAACTCCACTGGTCTGATGGTAATCAGATCAGAGTGTAGCTGGTGGAGTTGATCTCATCTTTACTAACAATCTAGTTAATCACCCTCAGTTAATTCATGATTTAAAAGTGGGGAAAACACTTTTCCACACAGGATTAGGTTGGTTTTAGATTACTTTATGTGCTTTGACTGTATTTTGTATTTTTATCAGATTATCTTGGTTATTGAAAGTTTGATCAAAAACATTCAAGTGTGACCATAAAAGGTGAAACCAGGAGAAATGTGAATGGAAATGCTTCCTGCAGCATTCTGAGTGGGACATCCCACGTGTGTGAGAGATGGTGATACTGAAGATGTAAAACACACTCCCGCTGGCCTAACTTTTAACTGCATCACTCTGAGCATTTATACTCTCACTGACCCTCATTTGATCAAGGATTTTGATCTGCATCCATTTGGAATTGAATTAAACTTCCCTGACATGGATGATGGATGGGTGCAGGAAAAAGCCATGCATTTAGAATACCTTGTGTTGCTCAGGCCGAGTCCATGATGCCTGTAGAGGACAGAGAGACAACAGACAGAAGGCAAAGCAATTCTTAGAAAGCAATCCTCCATCCGCTGAAAACTGGGATGCTGCACATCGCATGCAAGGAATAAAATGTTCAGATTAATTCAAGCGAATGTGAAAGTTCTTGATCTCAATGTTTGGATTTGCCAAAGCCTTCAGCTACAGTACTGAAGCTTATTACGAGACTTTTAATTTGAAAGCTGCACTTGGATTCATCTTTACAGATTTTATCTGAACTTCACACTGAAACAAGGAAAGCCTATTGTCGTCATGATGGCAGAAATTCTTATAGATAAGGTTACTGGTTTATCGGGAAGAGGTGATTCCATTACAACACAACAGAGATAGGCCAGCCTTCTTTTGGAAAAGCTTTGAGGCAATTATGGACTCGCAATCCATTATGGTCCACTACTCCTGTCTTGATCTGGTAAAAAAAAACTGCCAGCACACTAAATACAGCCCAGTCCATCAAACCATTGAGCAGATTTATACATTTTTCATTCAGGCGGTTTTGTCCACCTCATGTGGGACCAAGAACATTTTTTGTACAAATTTCACATTTAATTTAATTTCCCCGACTGTAAATAAAACAAAATCTCACATTTAAGCAGCGACGATAATCATTCTCCACATTAAGTCATCTTTTCTGTCTAGTTCTTGAATAAATTTGAAATTTCTACTAAACACAGATAGTTTAATTGTTTATTTAGCACCAAAAACACATTTGATTTGAAATAACAAGATTTGAAGAATATTATAGAGGAAGTCAAACCACAGGTATAACAACTGATCACAATCATGCTGCTATAATATTCTCCAACACCATTAACATCCAACTAAACACAGAACAGCAGCAGATAACATCTCTGGACGACACAAACAGAAAACATGCCATATCCAGTTAAATTGCACAACCATGAACTCCACAAGACATGAAGCTTTTAGGACGGCATGCTCTGTGGTGAGGCTGACGAGTGAGTGTTAAGCATGTTGATGGGATGTGATGGTCTACGGAGAGAAAAGCTACTGGAGTGTGACGAGCAAAGTGATAAACAGCCATTTCATCAGGTGCAACGGCAAGAAAATGTAAAAGTTGATGAAAGCTATCTACGGAGATAATTACGAGACAAAACTGTGACTCAAACCATCAATATTCACACCTAAAAGTACTCCATATTATCTCGGCAGCAGGCTTTAAAAGACATGGTGGGAATTCGGCTTCGTAATAGCTGAATCCTGAAATCCCTCACAATCATCTTCCTTTTGTGTCGATTCTTTCGACGGTAAAATGAGAAGACGGAGCAGCTTCGTCGAGGAGTTTGACTGTAGATCATTAATACAGCAGTTGCTGCATGTCATCACAGCACCGTGAACGAGCAGTTTCCCAATTAAAACCAGCAACCTAACAGCGTGGAACACCGCCGCCTCATCCACGTACTCAGCGCTTCCTCGGCAGCAAGCGAGCTGACAAGCTCTGCTGTCATGTTGGTGACAGGTGTTTGTTTGGGACAAAGGGACGGTGAACAACTGCAGATGTGAGCATGCAAACCAGAGGATGCCCAGACACGATCACTTATGCGGGTTTCCAGCACCCATGAAACCTATTCCCCCCCCCCCCCAGCCTACTGTTACTGCCTTCCATCGACACGAGTCCTCAGCTGTGGCGCGATGCGGACCTGCTAATACCGTACGAGTCAGGATGCTGTTTTATCAGCGGTGCGTCCGTCTGTTCTGTACCATGAATTGCTGAGCTTTGGATCTTTTCTAGAAGTATCCTTCCATCACATCACATCTCCACTGGCCCAGCTAGCGTGCTGGTAATGAGTAGCCTTTTGTGTTCACGGTGCCATTTCTGCATCGACACGCAGGTTTCGAAGTGCGCCTCTGTCCCAGAGAAACATTAATTACAGAATTTCTTTAAGCGTCTCATTACTGATATTATATTCACTCATTTTCTCTCCTGAGTCTTTAACTTGCAATTTAACAGGCAACCTGAGTTTTATACAAAAGCTGGCATTAAAGTGGATTTGGGTCTTAAATAGGATTTTCAAAACCACAACACAAGAGACATTAAGCCCTGTAACCACATTAACATTTAGTTTTATAAAGTCTCATTTCAGAGCATCTCTCCTCTTTCCAAACAACTCGGGCTGAAACCTCAGTGAGAACGCTTCATGTGAATTCAAAGAGCGAACGCCTTCATTATGAAGATAATGTTCAAAGAATGGATAAATACTTCATTTACATTTTCAGTTATTAGACAGCCACACTTATCTAAACCAGCTTGGAGGAAAAGCATTCAAAGGACTGAAAGAACCAAACGGCATCATGTAAGGTTTTAAATAAATATATAAACATTTAACTGTGATCGCTCTATAAACACAAACAAACGGACAAGCTGCCATTTCAAGTTGAAATGTAACTCTAAACGGACACACTCCCACTGTTGGACACGGCCCTTTTATCCCGATGCTTCCTGCAGGGATGCTCCATCCTCAGTCCGCGCTGCTCTTCACGCAGCTATGGGACGATGTCTGCTCTTTCAGGGGTTGCTGAGCGTGAATTAGTTACTCCTCATTTTAACCTTTGAAATCCGAGACGAACGAAGAATAGGAACAAAGTCAAATTAGGACACGCTGGCTTTGACAGAAGTCGGATTTTCATTCACCGGCAAAGCAGATCTGACGCGATCGTCCGACAAAAGGCACAGAAAAAGAACAGGAATCAGACGCTTGGCCATCAGCTCGCTTTAAGCCAACGAACTGAGCTGAGTAGCGTCAAAAGTTCGAGGCGTGAGGAACAATTCAAATCTTCATTGATTATTTCTTATATTTATCATTGATAAATATTTAGATTTGCCTTCTGACTGCTTTCTGAATGACTCAATAGGCCAACATTTGTGTTATTTGATATTCAATCGAGCGGTGACTAAAGAGTCTCGAGACGTTGACCGATTCCTCTGCATGAGGGAGACAACTCCATCAGGAGCTTGAAATTAGGATTTGTGTTCAGAAACGGTGAAGCTTATTAATAAAACAGCAAGCAGAACTGAACAGCCTCAAATTCAGCATAACTCTGTTTTTATAAGTATGTTGTCTGAAAGCGTTTACTCTTTAACCAGAAATGACAGCATCTGACCAGCTAAACAGCCAAAGAAGTGAAGACACATTCAAACGAACTGCTAATTAATGCTGCTCATTAATCCGGATCACACATCTGAAAACACAGAACGGAACTGGGCTGCTTTTCTGACCAGTACAAAAGTCTCGCCTCATTAAACCGATGAAAACGCACTTCCTGCCGCGCTCTTTAAAGTTTCTCCATTTGACACGTTCACCCCAAAACAGCGCAGCTCAACACATTTTCACACTCCTCCCAGATTAAATACAGCCGTTGTGATGTTTACAAAACAACACGTCGGACGGATGTCAGACAAACAAACAGAACAAGACAAATCATTAGCAGCCATTTTCACAGAAACCCTAGACAGGAAGTGCGTGTGCTCGTTGAAGTGCGGTAAGGCTGCTAATCATTTCTTGTACGACTGAGTAGAGATGCCTAAGATCACCAAGCCTACCGCACACTAAAAGCACACTGCCACCACCGTAAAGCTACGCGGTTGCTTGATGTGTGTCGTAGTTCAACGTTACAAACCTACACCCAATTTCCAGAGGCTTCGTGTGCGGCGCGTCACGGCAGCGGCACGGTTTAGTCACGATCCCCACCGGGAGCGTTTCAGACGCAGAGAGGTTGCACCGCAGTCGTGTAGTTGCACAACGAGATCACAAAATCACGGGAAATTTGACGTTGTATGCTTCAGAATAACAGTTGAATGTACTGTTATTATTTTAGGTCTTAAGTTGCTGATATTTCGGTCCATACCTTCTAGTTTTTGGTGTTGTGTTTGTAAAAGGGACGTGTGATGTCATAAATGATGTTGTGATTCTCCTCAGATTAAAGCCTCGTCGTCCACACCGGTGCTCTCTTTAAAGGATGCGGGAAGCAAATGAGCTCTTCGGTTACCAGTAAAGATATAATGTTGACATCGCTTAGGAATCACAAATCTGCTTTTGTGTGTTTTTTTTTATTTACTTGATGCGTTGAGCGACCTGTTGAGCCCCGTGTTAACTGCAAAGCTTGACGTGTTCTGGAAGTGTGCCGTGTCAAAAACAGACCCCAAACCTGTCTTTAGCAGCTCAAAGAGCCGCAGCAACACAGTTCTGGGATGTTCCTGAAACGTTCCACGGCACATCCGGTGTAAACCAAACCGTAGACTATATTAGCTTCCATTTGAGATGTGTCTCTGCCTCTCCGCTGTGTTAATGGGGGTAAGTTCCATTACTAATGCATTCTGCAGCTTCTACTTTAAAAGAAACGTAACCTGTGCGTGTAATTTGGTCGACCCTCCACCTGCAGAATGACTCGTCACAGGAACACTACAACCTCTCGGGAGTTTTTGCTGTAATGACACGAAGGTGCGATGTGGAGCTCTGAATGCGACTCTTCGACAATAATGAGTCTCTCCGCATCCATTAAAGCTTCAAGACCCCAAAAAATAAGCCCAACTGGCAGCGACAGCAGAGGACGTGGAGGAACACCAGCTGGCAGATGTGTTCCCTACGCAGGCTTCTCATGGGAGCCTGACATTGGATAATAGCAGTGAGGTGTTGACTGTTACTCAGCGGTGCATCCATGTGTCTCAGTGTGCCTCGCCACAGAAGGTGTGTAGACTGGCAAAATGAAAAAAAAAAAAAGAAATAAAGCGGGCTAGTCGTGAAGTGCGTCATATGGTGGAAGTGTGTTTTGCACTTCTGAGTGATGCTCCAATCAAAGTGTAGTTTTTTTCAATATCTAACAGACTTAGCAGGTGGCCGTAAATGTCCCATTTGCATGAATCCATATCAGCAATGGATTTAAGTTAGCAGCTTTTATAATGGGGGGGAGGGGCCTGCAGCACTTGAAACCAACTGCTCACCACCTCCAGCTATTTAGTTACAATTGCTTCGTCTAGAGGGGTAAAGGCTGACATTAAAAAAAAACAGACTTTCAGTGGAGCATCTGTAGCCAGTTTTACGACCATGCTGGCATCGATGTTAGACATTCTACAGTAACAAGCAGATGAGAGACGGACCGAGCTGTGCTCCAGTAAAGGCTACCTCATGCTGCGATGGAAAGATTGAGAATGATCAGGCAAAAAGCAACACAGAAATGATGTTTCCCTTTAACTAGTCATCAACCCAATTTTCATTTGATCTTGTGTGAAACTTTCCGCCACAAGATCAGTGAAGTTTTCAGGCTGTTTTTGGAAATCATGCAGCAGTCGAATCAATCTCATGAACCCTGATGAAATCATTCCAAAGGGGTTTTTCAAGAAGCAGCTGGGAAATTTCCAACACAGGACAATTTGAGATCAGTAGGAGATTTAGCTCTAACTGAAGAGATATTTTACAAACTACTCCAGGACATTTCTGTGCCACGTGGATTTCATACCTGATAGATCCTGTTTAGATGTGCCTGTAGGGAGAAAATGTAGCGTATGTAATGGGCTGGCTCCAGGAAATCTACGAATTGATATAAAACCTCAACAGATTATCCCCTTTTTGACTTCTCAGCTGCAAGACCTTGAAGAAGCAAGCCATGTGGACAATAGATGTGTGAGAATACCTATCAGGTATTCCGTTTTATGGTTTCGATGTGTAATGATGCAGAAGAGATTGCAAAGGGAACATCTGAGATATTAAGGATGTAATGGAAGATTAAAAGCTGGCTCTCCACCACAAACATCTTTTTAAATGGCAGCAAGTTAATTTCTGTAATATAAAATCTTTCTGTCACTGGGATGAACAAAGATCTGACAATAGTGATTGAAAAGTGTAAACAAACACTTTATTCACGTGCTTATTCTAGCAAAACGGAGCAAATACCTCAATAGTTAGAGGGTGCATGCTTCTTTGAGGAAGTCTGTAGAGGATTTCTTTTAACTCAAATGTGCTGAATTTCATCTGACGAGTTCCAGTTCGCTATCACCTGAGATCCACCGGACCGTCTCAAAGCCACGGCTAGTTTAGAGTGAATGATCAGCTTGATGAAAACACTTTGCAATGAAGCCGCTAAAGTTCCCCACCTGCACCAAATCAATATATCATTTGAAAGTAGGTTAAAGGTATTCACTTTGTCTCCTTCACACACCTGTGGTCTGCAGGTTTGTGGTGCTCCCTGGTGGTTGCTGCTAAATGTGCCCACGTTCTAACGCATCACAAACGCATACTCGGGTAAGGACATCCACAAGAAAGCATCGGCTTTTGTTTTGGTGGAATTGGGAAACGCGTAGAGCACACAGGGACACGATTAAACCTGAATAATGTAAATAAAAATTGGGAGGAACCACAAGCTGCAGGTAAAATCTGGTGTTTGTGTTGTGCTGCGACAAGCAACAACAACTTCCAAACATCTTCTTTTTGTTTTCTGTTCTTTCCAAGTTGGTTCAAACCTACAGGATTATGTAGTATTTTTAAAGTGTACAGGTTATACATAACTACTATCTCACCTGTTGTAAATGGCGTCCTGAACAGCCTATGTTTAAAGAAACAGTTGATGTCCTTTAGAATTGATGGGCTAACGGTTAGGCTGAGCATAGGCAAGTCCAAATAAAATTTCCGTTTTCCAAAATGACTCCAATCTCTGAAATTTGACATTGATGTATGCACCATCACATTAATATTAGATGTATTTACATTAAATTCTAGTTATTTACAAGCATGGGCATCACCAGCGGCAACTATAATTAAAATATTCAGAGGTGGGCATTTTTGTGCTTTGAACTGCCTTTAGTTTTCTTAAAATCATCCATATGACTAGAGTAGAGTAGAGTATGAAATGAATAAACATGTAATGCACAAAGGTTTATAAATGAATGCTAAGGAATCTCAGAGAGTGGTCTTGGCTTTGCTAAGACTGGCCATTGGCTCACAAGTCCTGTCAAAAGCCATCTGCAACAGGTAAGATAGTCTTTATTTTAAAACTTTTACACAAAGACACTCTTAAAATGGTTGAAATCTTCCTTTAAAAGGTTTTAAATGTAACTAAAGAATATTCAGGCCATCTCTAGCTCTTTGATTCCAGAAGGTGGAATCACCTTTAGGATGAGGCTTTAGAAGGCTAGATGGTCAGTGGAAAACCCAATCACTTCCTGACTTTACCTGCTCGCCCTCGGTGAAAAAGTGCTCCCCGTAGCTCCAGCTGATGGTAGGAGTTGGATCTCCAGTCGCCTCGCATGTCAGCGTTTCCTCCTCCATCTCTGATGTGGTCTTGTTCACAATGTAAGTGATCTTGGGTTTGACTACAAAACACAAACACAAAATAAACACAACTACCCCGCTGTAAGGCTGCCAGGTGGTCTGGCAAGAGAAGCACAGAGTTCACTCAAAGGATGGATGGAGATCAGTAAAAGACTTTTATGGCTGAATTAATGATTCTGACGGCCATGTTTGGATTCATCCTCATCATCTAGCTTATCTCAGAGGATGATGCTTTTAAATAGTTTCTGTTTGCGTTACCTGTCATGAGCGTCACCCAGAAAGCACAGCCAGGTGTGACAGTAGTGATACGAGTAGAGCAAAGCAAACTGAAGTGCTACTTCAGAGGCATGTGGGTGACTAATGCCGAGTGCTCTCATCTATTTTAATCCACTCCATGGAGCATGAATGCGTGGATAAGACAAAACATGGAAACCCGTTCAGTGAAGTGAATTTGTGATAATCTACTAGAGAAAATGAGGGAGGCCTTTGAAAACACAAAGAACCCTGCATGAATCTTTCAGCTGCTATGGTTCTTTAATTTTCTGCTTTCAAATGTCTTTAGAGCTCATAATATTTTAATTACTGATTTTCTCCAGCAAAAAGACCTGAAACAGGAAATGACTAGAAACCTACTTGGGGTTGATGTTCGTCTTTAAAGTACTGTAAGGTTTTGACCTTAAATAGTCTTTTAAACTTTAAGCTAGAGCTTTAACATATACCTCAGTGATGGTTGAGTTAGAAACTTGAAGAGTTTCATGTTTGAGCTCTCAACAGTCATGTGGAGTGGGTAGGTGCTCTATAGGCGGAGCTCTTTATCTGCTTTAAGGCTGTTAGCTAAAGGTTAGCATTCCGTTCACCAATCGTCAATAAAAAGCACAAGAAGAAGAAAAAGGAACTGCTTTTTCTGTTGGCATCATGGAAGCATCACAGAGCCTGGAAGTAAAAGTAAGAGAGCAATGTCTTTGGAGGTGAAGCAAATGTCTAAAACCAGAGAGAACATCGGCATGGCCTACACTAGTTTGAGGGAGCTACAGAATCACAGACCGATGGTGATCTGGCGTTGTTGCTACTGGACTTATAAAATTTTTAGTCCAACATTATGGATCTTTTTCTTTTGTGGTTTATTTTAGTATTAGCTGGCTCATGTTAGCGTTAGCACTAGCTACAGCAGGGTTGTATACGGCAGTTGTAATTCCACTTTTAACCAGTAGGGCAGAGGAGCGGGAAACTATCTAGTGTTACTTTAAATATTCCTAGGACCGAAAGATATTACATTGAGAAGTGCTGTTTTTTTAGATGCATCTGTTCTTTCATGAGGATTACCGTATTGACCCTAATATAAGAGGTTTTTTTCATTGAAATAATTTTAAAATGTGGGGTTGTCTTATAATCAGGGTCTAAGCATTTACACATGCAGATATTTGTCGGGGGGGGGGGGGTGTCATTACACGCCCGTAACAGCAGAGGACGCCAGGCTGTATGTTGTCAAAAGGAGAAAAAAATGGAGATGAGGGGTCCGAAGCAGAGTGGACCGAAAGTGGGGCAAGTAAACAAGCTACAAGGCAGACAGGGTATCTGCAGGTTTAGGGAAGCCATACTTAAGACTTTTTAAGACCTTTTTTTAAGGCCACTTTGACCAAATTTAAGCTATTTTTAAAATTAAATTCAAGCTATAATTTCCAGCTATTGCCTGGAACCAGTGTTAACCACGTCGCGAACTTGGGATTAACCATCCAGTTAGCATTAAACTTGCACTTCCCCATGGCGTAAGCTCCCACTAGCTTAACCAGCTAATGTGCTCATCTAAAAATAGCCCCCTTTCACAACCAACTGAATGTGTACGGTTCCACTTACGCCAACATCATACACTAAAAATGCTAAAATAATCTTGTTTATTGGGTTTTTGGTAATTTAAGACCTTTGGAAACTGTTTTTAAGGATTATTTGTCATTTTTAAGGAATTTTAAGGTCTTAAATTTGAAAAAGCAAATTTAAGACTTTTTAAGACTTTTTAAGGACCCGCGGATACCCTGGGCAGAGTTATGTGAATTTTAAGATGACGGTAGTAAATTTAGCAGAGGTGTCAAATATTGCATGCATGGGTGTATTGGATGGCTGTGAGGAATGGATGACGCTTAATGGGAGGAGTCGGCAGGTGTAGCGATCTGATGGTACGCCCCGCATGAGCGAGAATGAGAGTGAGTGAGTACAGCAAGTCAGATGGCATCTGAATAAAAGCCTAATTTAACTTTTGATGTCGCATGTCAGCAAATTTCAGATAGTTTGCATTAAAATAGTATTTCTGCTCAGTATTTGTTCTCAAATTTTCAATAAAAATAGTTTATTTAAAAAGTGACTTTTTGTCTTTTCCTAAAGATTAGTCTTGGAAGGGGGGGGGGGGGGGTCATCTTTAAATTGGGGTCGTCCTATATTCGGGTCAATACGGTACTTTGATTAAGTTTTAAGTGACTAAATAATAAATGCACAGAGACAAACTCGTTCTTAAAAGTGAAAATGAGTTTATTCATGTGCAGCTGTGCAGTTATAAACTAAATATCCAGACAAACATTGTAATGGTGAGCATCTAATACCAAAGAGCTCAGAATTAGTAAAAAGTAAACACTGATTATGAAAATCCACATTTGCGGTTTTTCTATGCAGAAGCGGATGTTCACAAAGAGATTGCTTGCATTACATCAATATGTAAGGAGCTTCGTCACAGTGGGAGAATCTTAGAAATAATGAGGTAAACAATGTGCATGGATGGCTGTGTTGAATACTTGTGTGATAAATGTTTTCTCTGAAGAAATAACAAAAAGCAAACCTCTTTTATTTAGTAAAACCAAACTGCAGCAGAAGTTTCACTGATATGATGATAAATAGAAGTTAACATTTATCTGTTGTAGACTTAGGAACAACCTAATGAGTCAATTTGAGCTCAATCTTGGTTTTCAAATCCTTCTCTATCCCTACATGAAACATCAGCAACCCACACCGAAGCAACACCTTATGCTTGTCTTCTTTCAAACAGACACAAAACCATCTTATTGTTCTTCCCCCACAAGCATGCTCAGATTTACAAATCCCACTCACTTGGAACATCCTACATCGTCACTAGTTCATGTTTGTACTGTATAGAAAATAGTCTGTCTTACCAAACACTCTCAGGCTGAGCTCCTTTTCATTTTCCCCGGCCTTGTTCTTGGCGATGCAGGTGTACTCTCCTTCATCCAGTTTGGTAACATCCATTATCGTCATTTCTGAGCCGTCGTCATTAAAACCGTACTTGACCTCATCCTCCAGCTTGACCCCGTTTCTGTTGAGTGTTAAATACCACATCAGTCACTCTGAGCAGTTCTCAAACACTTTTCAACTTCTTTGTTGAAAATCATGTTAACATCTTGATAAAATGTGCAGTGGTTCCTAGATACCCGAGAGAAAAAGTAAGAGAGGTCAAAGGATCAAGAATGAATGCAGAGCTAAAAGGAGACGGTGTGGATGCTGAAAATCCCTGAGCCAAAAGGCCATTTTTGTGCAGCAGTGTGGCTGGTTTCACAAGATTTCTAACAGATTCACAAAATGCTTTGCATTAGGCTAAGATCCTTAATGTCAGTGATGAGGTGCAGCAACGATTAAACCAAGCTCGCCGTGTGTGCTTTCTTCTTTGCTGATTTTCTGAGTTATTGTCAGTGAGCGTTTACTAAAAACAAGCTTCAGCAGAGAGGTGAGAGGTGTAAAAACAGAAAAGCCCACTTGTGTGTCATGTCCACATGACTCAGTGAGCTCTAAACCCTTCTTTTGGTCTGATTTGTTTCTCAGCTTGAAATGTGAGGCCAGCTGTCCCTTCAGAGCTGAAGTCTGAGGAACTGAACATGTTTTCATGCCTTTTCAAATTCAATTCAAATTCAAAGATACTTTATTAATCCCAGAGGGAAATTAGAGTTTCAGTACACACAATTCTGAGATCAGACATACATACATAGACACATGACAAGAATTGGTGACTGTGGTCATTCGCAACCCGAGTCGCGCTACCTTAAAAGAGATCAGAGGTTTTATATGAGGATTGAGTCAGGTGGAGGAAAAAAAGGCACTTCAGAGTTACCCTTCACAGGAAGGGCAGCTTTGCTATGCAAAAAACACCTCAGACAGAAATGCAACAGACTTCAGACATATCACAACATAAGTGTCCACTAGGTCGGGAGGTAGGGTTGGGGACTCTCCTCACATCAGTGCACGCAGCCGCAACGAGCAGCGCTCGTCACCCCCGTTTGGACAGGGGAGGGAGGTAATTGGGTTAGAGAGCACAGTGACTCCTGGAAACGGTTCCACGACCTTCACGGGTCTCAGTCCCGCCCAGGCTGGGATAGGGAGACAGTTGCCATGGCAACTGCAGCATTCCACATTTCTTCTGAGGGGGAGTAATCACTTCAGCCTCACAGGCTCAAGGGCACCAGATTCAGATAAGAACTTGTTTTGGGGCCAGACAGAGATAATTTCCTCTCTGTCAAAGTTCTATTGGTCTCCAACCCCTCTTGATCCAATAATGGCGTAAATGAATCTATTCCCAACCGTGCTGTCCCGTCAACTCTCTCTTTGATCGCATCTACCTTCTGTGCCAGAGCCTGAATCTCAGCCAACGTTCCAAGCTTACGACTCATCTCGACAATTATGAGTTTGTACGTTCACAGCGTGGTGTAATCCATCCCTGAGCTCCGGGGTTGAGCCAATATCCTCGAAAGCTCATTAATTTTCCCATAAGCCAGGTAACCACTCAGGCCAAACAGCAAGAAACCTGAAACCAACACCACGAATATCCAAACGTCTTCAGAATCATCTACAGACAGTTGAGAGAGGCATTTCAAGTTCCACTGTTTCCAGGAGTCCATGATATGCCCAGCTGGCTCTGTCCCAGAGGGGCACCCGGGAGCCCCTTCTCCCGTTCTCGTCATTGAAAAAATGTTGTCAATCGCGTTGAGAGACCAACTGACCAGATCCATTTTTAATAATTTCCAGTTTCCAGAAAAAATGCAGAAGCACCGTACACCCAATGACAGACAAAGAGCCGTGGGATAAGATGGGGGGAGAGGAGGAAAAAAGCGTCTACTCTCCAAGAGCCGGAAGTTTTTGTCACTAGCAGTCAGTTCCTGGTGTGCCGCTTGATTAAGTCACTACCAAAAACTTGTATAGAGTTCATTAAGGGGGTCTGTGGTCTGTTAGCAAAGTGAAAAGTGTTGCACACTGTGGGCTTGTGTGTCCCACCAGTAGAGCCTTAAGGATGCAGCTTATTTTAAGCTCTTGTTCTATTGGTTTGACTAAAAACGTTCCTGCAACAGGCTTTTAATGAGGACATAACCACTGTAGAGGGATTTTTGTACAGTGACAATAGAGCTCCGGGAGTTGACTTCACTTCTCCCGGCATGCAACAGTTCAAATCGAAACGGCGCCATCTTGGCAGGCAGAAGCCCGCAGCTGGAGTATTTGTAATTGTCGGAAAACTCAATCAAATGGGAAATATGGTAGATTCCTGTTGTGCCCCAGGATGCAGAACAGACACGGACGACATAAGGAATGAGCCATCTACAGGATTCTCCAAGATCCGGAACGCTGCAAACGTTGGCTCATCGCAATGAAAGTGACCGGGCTAAAATGAAACTGTCGAATCCCGAGGGTAAAGCGACCACTTCATATCAGGTACTTAAACCGTTTCCTTAACTGTGTATGGTATTTATTTTAAATGCTTTTATTACGATTCTTAGTGGGCTTCCTAAACTTATTTTGGCGTGGCTTTTTCTGTCTTATTACTCATAGCAACAAGTAAACGTCACGTAAAACGTTGCCTCATGATTTCTGCGTGTTGCCGTTTACGTGTTTTATGATCACAGCAATTAACCGGCTAAGATGTATTTAATTTTTTAAGCAATGGTTGATCAATTGTCAGATCACACATAAAAAGCACTTTGGATTGCTATTATCTGTCTCACCGAGACAGATCTCAGACAGATCCTGAGACGCTCCTGCCTGACATATTTAATTTATTCACGGAAAAAAACCAGACTAGTGATTTCTCTTGGCGTTCAGTTTATACATTCAAACAGCACAGCACTCTATTTAAACTACTTATATGTAAATCTATGTTATTTGTCCATCCATTCGTTTTCATCCCCTTATCCGGAGTCGGGTTGCGGGGGCAGTAGCCTAAGCTGAGAGGCCCAGACTTCCCTCTCCCCAGCCACTTGGGCCAGCTCCTCCGGGGAAATCCCAAGGCGTTCCCCGGCCAGGTCCGCTCCGACAGCTTCTGGCGTTTTTAAAAAGTATCCCAGGGGCACGGTAAGGGTCGGAGATGTTTAATCTATTTAATTTCTGACTATATAAAATGATTTCTTCGGTCTTAAAATATGAAGTAAACTGCGGCGGAGTAAAATCCAAGCCAATCCCGTTCATTTTGTTTACCTTTGTTGCCTGCCAACATGGCGTCTACTCTCTGAGTCACGTGACGTCCGGAGCTCTATTGTTAAAGGTTCAAGAAATACAGAACCGATGTGCACCCCGTGCCTTAAAACAGGAAGTACTATAAGAGCCCCAAAGCCAGGAGCTTTTTTTTTTCTTTTTCTTTTTTAATAATTTTTATTTATTTAACCTTTATTTATCCAAGTAAACTGTTGGAGAACCACTTCTCATTGACAAACATGTCCTGGCTTACCCCGGCTTTCCATTAGCCATCATAACCGGGTTCCTTTCCACCGGTGTAAAGTCGTGGATGCATCCCAGAAGCAAAGGGAAGCAAAGCCATCATTATATTTTGAGTCTTTTTTTTTAATTTTACGCTCTATGCTTTCAAAACATGTCAAACTGTGCAGTTTAGATCGAGCCAGACAGCAAGTCGAACATCTGGAAACTTTTAAAATAACGTCACGTTCGGAAAAATGTACGCCATTTCCTGTGAAACCCCCGTAGCTGATGTAATCTGAAACCCAGGTTTAGTTTTGATTGTGTAAATGCTTTTCTAAGTTCAGTTTAGATCATTTAAAAACGTGCTTTCCTTGTTCCTCAAGGTGTGACATTGTATTTTCCAACAACAGTGTATCTACTGCCCGCTGTGCAAAAGGAAATAATGACTTAACTGTTTGTTTTTCCCTTATACAGCAGTGGTTTTCTCTAATCACACAGGTCTCAAACAGAATCTACTGGAAGCCCAGGCGGTCAGCAGATCCAGGGCTGTTTAAACTTTGCGACCTAGGATCTAAGTTGTCTGCTCTGTTAACTGCTGTCTAGGAAACAAAATGAATGGAAACAGTTTAACAAAGGCCGGAGCCTATCAAAGCTAGTGTTCAGATCCACAGATAATGTGGCTTTTGTTGACGTGCTGCTGTTCAGGTTTCACTGTTCACCTTTGATACCCTGTGATTAAGTGTTCGATTGCAACGAATAAATGAGCCGCTGGGACTTCTCTAATAACCTGCACTCTAAAATAAATCAACTGAAGTTCTTTTTGACTTTCATCATTATAAATATTTTACATTCTTACACCAAAGACGTGCTCTACCGAGGCGTGTGTTCTATTATTGTCAGTAAAATTACATTTGTCATGCAATCTTTCTGTATGAAGTCCCACATCCCTCAGAATAATAACTGTTTACACTGACTGACATGTTTAATTAGTGCAGAAGGAGAAGCTGCTCTAAAACAGGCCTCTTGATAAACTTGTGGGAAAATCGTCAGATGAAGAAGTTTGCCCAATTTCATGACGAAAAATAATTTTTTGGTTGGCTCATTATTTTTCATTAGCTGTGTCTCATTAGTTTGTTCCTGGAAGCTTTTACCTCCATGGATGCTAAGTGTTGACGCTTATTTTGAGACTGACATAACCGAGGAAGTCCTGCCAGCAGCAGTGCTGTACAGTAAATGTTTTTCATATCAAACCATTTTTATTGATATTTTGAGAATCGTGATTGAAACTAGACCTGCTGTTCAGCTCACTAAAACCTGTCCATCTAGTGCAATGTTCCAGAGAAGAGCTGCTGCCTTCAGTCATCACAGACCAAGGCTTAGTGACTGGAGTAGGACGGCACTAGGTACGCCATAAAAATAAATATATTAAATAAAGTAAGGTGGACGGTCTCTAGTCGGGCCAATCTTTTGAATGACACCCACTAATTCCTTGTATCGGAGACATCTAGGATCAGCATTTCTTCCTCTTGAGCTTGTTTCGGCCAGGGGCCACCAACTCGCCGAAGATTCACTGAGAAACCATTTTTGCTTATTATTTTTGAAAATGATCACTCTGAGTTTAACATGCAGGCTTAATATGAAAATTATGTCCTACACCTATTTCCTGCATTAGCTGTTGATAGAAAACAGACGATAAAACGATAGTTTCAGAAAAGCCTGACCGGTCTACGCCACCCTGTCAGTTAACATTCATGGACTCACCCAGCTTGACTGACAACAGAAAAGGCTGTTTTTGGTTTAGCATCCAGGAAACAGCAGAGCGTCTCGACTAGTAGAGGCTAACCGTTAGCATTAGCAACTCCACCACACAGCAGAACTCCTCCAGGCTTGTGTTGTTTGTGGAGATAAAACATCAAAGTTGCGAAGAGTCAGTCAGAGGTGAGATGTCCAAATATCAGGAAAGAAGGCTCCTGCTGTCTGAAGCTACTTTCTCCTTCAGCTAAGAGATCCATGCTGAAGCAGGCGCATCGGGGCTTCCCCCAAAGAACGACTTACAAGCCATTTATTACTACTAGAGACCACCGCAAATGTATTAAAGATATGGTTTACATCGAGCCAGACAGGAAGTCAAACACAAAAGCTGTGTAAAACATCCTGAAACTTTCAAAATAAAAGCCACACCAAGGTCAACGGAACAGAAAAAAATAGACTTTTTGGAAACATGTAGAGGGTGACGATGGCACAGGAGTTAAGTGCTCAACCTGTAATCTGAAGGTTGTAGGTTCAAGCCTAACTCAGTCTGTTGCTATCGTTGTGTCCTTGGGCAAGACTCTTAACCCACTGTGCCTGCTGGTGGTGTTCGGAGAGACCGGCGGGGCCAGTATACGGCAGACTCGCCTCTGTCAGTGTGCCACAGGGCAGCTGTGGCTACAATGAGACATCACCACCAGGGTGTGAATGTGTGGGTGTGTGTGTGTGTGTGTGGGTGAAGGAGGACTCTAGAAGGTGCTATATCCAATACAGGCCATTTACAATGCGTTTATTGTGTGGACTTCTGAAATCACGCGTGATGTTGCTATTCTCCTGTGATTTTGTGACTTTGTGGGCATGGAGTAAAGGTGATCTTTAACACCTATTGTAAATGTTGCATTTCTCTTGAGTCTCTAAGTTATGTGTCCTTTAGGTTAGATCTGATAGACGGACTAAGGTAACTACTAATGAGACAAATACTTCAACTTTATTTAATCATAAAATCTAACTACTCTGAAAGCACTGCTGCTCGTGTAAATACTAATATCTGCTTTGTCCACACATGAAGAAAAACAAAAGTGCCAGGTTGCCAAGGTAACACCCAAAGATCATCAATCTGAAGAGTTTACCTTGTCCAGGTCACCATGGGTTCAGGATAGCCATCAACGGCACACGTCAGCACGGCCGGATGCTCAGCATCTGCTGTGGCGTTCACTTCTGTTTGCCATATTCTGATGGTCGGAAGCACTGAGATACAAGGGTATGAAAAATAAATGTAGAAATGAAACAAACATCAAAGGAAGGCTGACGGTGAAGCTGATGAACAGGAGTCGGCGTTTCTGAACAGCTGATTGGTTCTACAGACGTTAAGATGGCCAACAAGCAGACACTCAGACACAAGCAGGCACAGTGACACATTCATGGAGCTAATTTTACTCTTTTTTTCTAGCCTCAGAAGTTGCAGAAAGCAGACTTCATTAGCATAAGATATCTTTGATAAGCAGTTGCTCTAGGCAACAACTCAAACAATGACACTGAGCCTGGTCGCCTCTAAGGATCAACAGCTCATTTAAGCGTCACCTGTCATACAAAACCATGCATCCAGGAAGAAAAAGGAAGAGGAAAGTGTCAGAGGGTTGCTAACCGTTTACGACAACATTGATGGCACGGAGATCAATCTCGCCGCGGGCCATGAGGCGAGCTTCACACATGTACAAGCCCTCGTCTGTCTTCTTTATGCCACGGATTTGAAGGTGATTATTGTCGAGCACCTTAAAACGGACTGAAAGGAGAAAGGGTAAATTATCGGGTGGTAATTATTAACGAGGTTGCAGCTTAAAAAGCACAATTATCATACAAACAAGTGGCTATGAAAGTAGAATAAACAACAAAATGCTGCTTAATGTCCAATTCCAATAAATCATTAAGCTTTTTATCCTAAAATGCATAAATACTCATGTTTTATTTATTAACCCAAAATTTAGATCCTTAAAGGTAAAATACCCATAAAAATTTTATTCTATAATAAAAATGTAAAAAAAAAGGTTTCAGACTGAGATTAGAGTATTCAAATATATATTGTGTTTTCATGAATATTGTTTAGTATCTGTTGTGTTATTTTTTATTGAATGAAATAAAGATAAAAAAAAAAACAAGAGATGAGTGAGCCTGATGAACGTACGTAATAAATATGCTAATGAATATTTTAAATGTGTCATTTGATTCTGTAGAAATAATGAAATCTGTGACAAGTGATTTGCCTTAGCTGACAGAACAGAGACATGCCTGGCTAAGGAGGAAGCTTTTGTGAGTAAGGAAGGAAGTTTTGATTATAATGTTTTTAATTAAAAATCTGACGGGTAAATGGCTTGGGAAGGAAATCCTGTTTGGCACAAGAATCATTTTATTTTAATCAGTTTAACAAAATACTGTGTAACAAAAACATGAGCGAGTGGTTTCTACTGAAGACTGATGACGCGGTTTAACGATTGAATTCGGTTTCAAAGGGGCATTATGGAAGTTTGACAGCCAAAACATATAGAAATAATAAATGTCTTCTTCATACATTCTCCTGCAATGCCCTGGCATTTTTACTGTGATTGCCTGTTTTTCTGTAAAATCACAGAAAAAGAGCTGCTCGGGTCAAGCAGGCTGCTTCATGCGAATTCACGCTCAGCCATAGCCCGTAGCATTTGCTATCCGTAGCTTTAGCAGCAGAGAGAGAGGTAGTGCCAACTCAGCGACTTTGTTGCTGTTCCTAACGCCTAGTGATGAACCTAGCTACATTTCTGAGAACCCTTAGCTACTTTCTGTAGAACTTTCTTGTAGATATTTCCTGCAAATTAGCAACAAAATAGCCATTTTCACTCCGAACCGTTCTTTGAACATTGTTTCAGCTGTCATCAAGGATATAAATGTTACAGATACAAAGAACATCACTGGTGCTTTAGCTCGCCTAGAAAGACGTCAAACTCCTGTGCAGAAGACCTGGGTTTGATTCTGGATGTGAACATAGTTTATTTAGAGTTTATTTTTTTACATTAATGGTATTTTTTTTTTTTACAGTAAGATGCCCAAATTTTTATTTGAGACTCGCCAAACGGCATTGAATTCACAGATAAAAAAAATGTGGGTTCAACTTTCATTTTGGAACAATTTTTCAAGCAAGGGCAGGGAATGATCTGAGCATGCTGGAGGACAGACCCATCTTAAACCTTTGTCAGCTGTGCTGAAGAGAAAGGTACAGAACCAAATAATTTATTTAATTAGCTGTGCGTTCTCCTGTCCTCTGTCACACACACACACACACACACACACACACAAGGGACTGTCTCAGCTGTTATTTTCATTAAGGATTGTGCACGTACAGCATGCACGCCTCGTGCACGAGCCTACTATTGAAGCTGCCGTTACGCTTTTGGCCTGAGGGGGCAATCGAGAGCATAAAAATTCAAAACTCTGTAAAGTCCCTTTAATGTATGTGTATTGCACAAATTCACAATGTAAAAATCTAATTTATTCTATTTAATCCAAACATAATCGAATCCAGATCCATACGGCTAGATTTAGTGCATCAGTAAAGGATAAATCTAGCTAATTACAACTGGCCCGCGCCTGTGATTACCCTGGATTAACACCTTTAGCTTTAATCTGGAACATCATAGACATTTGTTTGTCTTAAGAAAAATCTTCATTTGGTTTTTCACCTGTTTTTTATTTTTCCTGTAAAAACCTTCCTGGAATATTTATCTTCAGCAAGAGTGATGATGCTTCAAACAAAGGTATCTGGATGATTTGGCTGTGATGTTAAATGAATGCGACAAAAGCTGGATGGTTGGTAGTTTTCTCATTAAGTGTTTTATCAAAGCAAACAATTGTTTTTCTTTCTGTTCAGACCTGGTTTCAGAGCGTTAAAAACATACCTGCATCCACTACAATCACAGTTCACAGAGTGATTTTTGTCACAGTGTTGAGAATAAAAACAATCTGAATTCGACCTGTCCCAGCCCTACAGGTATGACAGGGCGGATTTAGTTCACACGTTGCATAAGCAGCACTCTCTCAGATGAATGTTTACCCGTATGTTTACAGTGGCTGTGCAGATATCTCTTTTCTAAGCTGCTTCCATCCTCTTGTATGCTGCCCACCTGTAGCATTGTTACAGAAAGAGCAGCTTACTGAGGCTTTACAGTAATGAAGCTGAAGCTTGTGGGAACCTCTAGGAGTCACAGCACCAGCCAGATATTTACAATCCTCACCACATCCAAGGGTTCTGGTATATTCTCCATCATTTGTACAAATCAGAATAGAATATTAATGTCTAGTGTCTTTCTCGACTGTATTTTTTTCCAGGTGTTCTCACCAGTGGATCATTGTCGAAGCTTCATTGTACAAAGCTGTGGAGAATATTGGCTGCCTTACAGATTGCTGCTTCTGTTCCTTTTTATGCCAAATTTAGATGCAGTTTTCGAATGACAACCTTGTTTATTTAAAGAAAACAAGCAGTCCAAACCACCCTGACCCTGGGTGAGAGGGTAGCTGACCCCTAAACCTAACATTTGACCCACTCTTCTTTACAGAATGGTTTATTTTGGTCACATTGGAGGGTTTTCCAGCATAAACGGACTGTTTATGGTCAAAGGTTGGACACTGTTCAGCACAATTCATGGTTCCAGCAATTAGAGCAGGTGTCACCTCGAGGGCTACCATCCTGCTAGTGTTTCCACCACACCTGAATGGAGTAATTTAATCTTCTCCTTACCATGTTTAACTCTGCATAGGCCTGTTAATTATTCATTTCAATCAGGCGTGTAGGAAAAGAAACCGTTTACATGTGCAGGGTGGAGGACTGGAGTAGGTGACCCCTGACATACAGCCAGTCCTCCAGATCCATCACACTCCCACCACCATGTTTCATAGTTTTACACTGGATGTATTGGCCACCACACCCTCTAAAAAGGTCTGTTTTGTGTCTTCCTGAATATTTCCCAAACATTCTGAGGATCATCCAGATGTTTTTGCTCAATGCCAGATGGGCCTTCATGTTCACTTTGGTGCTCAGAGAAACTCTCCCACAGATGCCATTTTCTGTTCTGTTTATTTCTTACTGTTGAATCACAAACTCAAACCTTTACCAAAGAGGCCTGAAGTGTTTTTGATTATCTCATTTATTCGGTTATTGAATTTCCTTAGAACGTAAAGTGATGTGTTGCTTTTGAGATGTTTTAGCCTAGTTCAGGTTCTACTGGCATGATTTAACTCTACAGATCCGATAGTAATCATGCCTGGGTGTAGCTGGTGGAACAGAACTCGGTTTAATGTGGTTAGTCGCTGTAAATACATGGTTTAATTAGAGGAGAAATTACATATTCACACAGGAACGGGTTGGTCTGGATCAGGGGTGGGCAATCCTGGTCCTGGAATGAAGTTATCCAGCATGTTTTAGTTTTTTTCCCCTTTTCCAACACACCTTATTTTAATCAGTGGATGATTAACAGGGTTTTGCAGAGCTTGATAACTTGGTGAACAGGTGAATCAACCATTTTTGAGCTAAAACATGGATATTGGCACTCCAGGACCAGGACTGCCTACCCCTGGTCTGGATTGCTTTATTTCCCCAATACATCAAATCAACTTTTAAATAGTTCCTTTGGTTTTTATTCAGACCATCTTCACCAGATGGTGTTTTCTTTTGGCATAAGGTTAAAGTGGATAAAATCTGTAAGGGTGAACAATGTTTCGGTGTTTCAAACATAAAGACGTGCATTTAATAAACAACACGATTAAAGTTTCCCCAGCGAGAGCAGCCCTGTATGGCGCTCATCCACTGTAGCCACAGGTGGGAGGGAGATCTTGGGAGGAGCGCAGAGCACATTGACACCTGCAGGTTGATGACCTCGCCAGGCTGAAGTCCACCAATCTGAAGGTGGGGGGGGGGGGGGTAGGTCGGGTTTTCACAGCATCTGTCTGCATTCCTTCGTGGGGGTTTGTTGTTGGCATTCACAAGGCTGCCATGGTGTCAGATTTGGATAACAAGACTTTGTTTGGGTCAGGCAGAGATAATTTTCCTCTCTGCCTTCAGTCTGTAACTGATCATTCAAGTCCTCCAGTGAAGCCAATTCAGGTTTTAAACATCTCCACACCGTCCGGTGGCCCTCTCTGAGATGACATCCATTTTGCGCACTAATACCGGTAACGCAGCTAGAACGCTGTCCAGCTTACGATTCACCTCGAGTAACGTCCCAGTCTGTGAGGTCTCCACACGGACGGTGCTTTCCGTGGGTGCGGGTCGCCCTCCAATCGCTCCAGTCTTCCCAAATTTCCAGAAAACCAGATATCCTCCCACTCCAATCAGAAGAAATCCAGTGATCATCAGGCCAAACATCCACACATCTTCGACGTCCTCAATGGACAACTGGGAGAGGCATACGATCCTCCATTCTTTCCAGGAATCGAGCATATACCCCGCCGGGTGTGTCCCTTGAGGGCAAGTGGGAGCCCCCTGCTCTATTCTCATCGTTGAAAAAATCTTATCAATCACGTTGAATGACCAATTAATTAAATCCATTTCTAAAAAATAGGGTTTTTCAGGAGAAGTGTAGAGAAGCGCTCTGTGGGCAGACAGGACAAAGAGCCTTGGGAAAAAAAGATAAGGGAGCAAAAAGGGAAGCGTCTGTACTCTGCGAGTGCCAGAAGAGATTCAAGGACCTAAGCGTCCTCAAGAAGTGCAGTCTGCTGTGCCCCTTCTTGTTAACGGCTTTGCTGTTCTTTCTCCAGTCCAGT